GCCTGAAGGAGCCCTTGCCTTCCCCTCCATCCAGGGAAGGCGCAGCACAGGGCGTATTGGCAAAGGACGGACACGCAGAGCACATGCTGTCACTACCCAAACCCTCAGCCCCGGGCGCTGGCCATCAGGACACCCCAGCACAAAGCGACAGGTGAGAGTAGACAGAGCAAAGGAGAGGCCGCGGTGTGGCAGACAAAAGACCCGGATGCAAAGCAAAGGGCCTGGAACCCGGTCCGAGAAGCCAGAGGGAGCCAAGCCAGAGGAGGCAGAGCCAGAACCAGGAGAGGGGGCGGGGCTTCCCGGGCCTGGGCCTCACTCCAGGTGGGGGCAGAGCTGGGGCTGTGGGAGCCACTGCGCCTGGTGAGATGAGCACAGGGTCTGGCAGCTTCGGTCCAGCCGTGCACAGGCCGGACGCGGTGCATGGACACAGCATGTGCTCAATGCACACTGCGTGAGCCACTGAGTCCCACCCACCCCTTGCCAAGGGCTGAACAAGGAAGACCGCTCTAGCGAACGTTGATGATGACCAAACACGGAATCCCACAGGCTGTGCGGGCAGCTCCCCCTTCCCGGGGTGGGCAGCGGGGCTGACACCCAGAGATGCCTGCACAGGCAGCTTGTCCCGCAGAGGGTCCCGCTGGGAGGACAAGCTGAGGCCCAGATGTCACAGCTTGAGAAATCCCTCCCAGGCCTGGCCTCTCTGCCGAAGAGCTGCCAGCCCAGCTGTCCAGAGAGGGGGTGCAGGCTGAGGAGGCGCAGATGGTGGCAGTGGCCAAGGGTGCAGGCACTCTGCTCGCTGCTGGGTCCGGGGGAGGGTGTGTGGATGGGGAGGGCGGCTGTCCCTACCAGCAGGTTTCTTCTTCCCGATGCACACATGCCACCTGCAGCCAGAGGGCAACCAGGTGCCCGAGGAGGCCGCCTGTGCGCTGCGCCTGGCAGAGGCCCGCCTGCACTGCCCTCTCTGGCTGCTCACTGTTCCGGCTGGGTCTTTAGGGTGGAGAAAAGCAGGGACAGTGACCAAGGCCCAGGGCCGCTCCAGGGCTCAGAGCTGCAGAGGGGAGGGTCGGCCATGGCAGCCTGAAGCCGGGAGAGCACAGAGAGCCCAGTGATACAGACCCGCGAGCGGCGCGTCAGAAAGGCTTTACTCGGCCGCACGGAGAGTGAGTCCCTCTATGGAGCCCCTGGACAATCGCAAAATGCAAAAAGGAGAAATTCCAACCCAAGAAATCAACACCACATCAGCCCGAAACCTAATGCAAGGCCCGGCTCCCAACCCCTGCCAGCGCCCCGGCATCCGCCTGTCCCCCTCGGAAACACATGGGCTGTCACGGGCGCTACGGGACAATATGCCGTGGCCGCCGGGCAGCCCAAGCCACCAGGTACTGCAGGTCTAAACGGGATTCCGGGGCTGGTCACCACTTCATCACTGGCCACTGGTGGACTAGCCCAGCCCTGCGCCCGCTGGGCAAGGAAAGGGGGTGGGACCCGAGCCGACAGCCCTGCCTGCGCTGCAGCCCCGGCATTTTCCTTCCAGGGACTCCCTCTCCACTAGTAGGAACCCAGCTCCAGTGCGATGGCCCTGCCGGAGGCTTCACAGCACAGCCCGACCACAGCCCCTCCCCGGCCTCGCGAACACGCCTGCCCCAGCAGGTCTCCTCAGAGCAGCGTCTGGGGCAGAGCCCAGAGGACAGGAGCGTCCCTTCCAGCCTCCTTCACCCCCTCAGCCCAGCACTCAGAGCCCAGGCTCCTGTTACTGCTCCTGAGTGGGTTGTTCTAAAGTGTTCTTGTCTCCTGGGGGAGTCTCACGGCCAGAGGCGAGCAGAGGTTCCTCTGCCTCCTCCACTGTCCTCAGAGGGGGCGCCAGCTGGGGGGACCTGTACGGATGGCCTGTGCCTGGGAGGAGCCTGCAGCATCCCGGGCTGCTGGGCGGGATGAGTAAACAAACCCACAAGGACGCGGGCAACAAGGCAGAGGTTCTTGTAATAATACTGTACTCCTAGGCCCTCGAAGAGGCTTGGAGACCGCTTACCTGGTGTTCGACCCACATTCCTCACAGACCCGCCCACCGTCCTAATGGAGGCCTCTGGGGAGCAGGGTCTTGGACGAAGAACTCAGGGGCCCAGCACGGCTCTCCCACAAAGGGCAGCTCTCACTGCTGCGTGTGAGGCTGCGCAGTGGGTGGCAGGGCACTGGGTGTGCACGGTGGGTGTGCACGGTGGGTGCGCCCAGTGGGAGGCACGTGATGCCTGCGAGGGGCAGCCCAGGCGAGAACAGCCCTCCCACCTGCTGTGAGCTCTTGCAGTGTGTGCTCAGGGGAGAGGGGCACTGGATCCCGCAAACCCCGAGGCAGGCCAGCCTCTCCACACGCGGCCCTCCTCCACGTGACACCGCTAGCTCAGCCTCACCCTACACGCTGTCCCCATGTCCTCTCATTGACTTTTCATTATGACCCTAAAGGCAGGTGCGTTCTCACCCATCTACAGAGGAAGAAACCGAAACACAGAAGGAAGAACTAGTTAGTACTGGCGTCCTGGAGCTGGACCCCAGCAATCTGGCGCCCGTGCCGGCGCTGCCACGCTGCAGGGCCTCTGGGTGTCGCTCCTGTCTGCTCTGTGGGGTGCCGGGTCTCGGCAGGACAGCGGGAGTTGGGAGGCCCGGTCCCAGGTCTGACACTGCACTGGCCACACCTCTGAGCAACCTTGCCCTGTTGGTGTGGTCATTTCAGTGTGGCCTCCACGGGACTCCGCACCAGCCTGCCTGGCAGCCGCGTGCACTGCACCTGCACCTGCACCTGCACCTGCTGACCTCTGAGATGAGGCAGCGCGTGTTTGCGCCCTGGGAAGAGGCCCCCCCTCTGCTCCTCCCCAGAAGTGCAGTGTGAGGAAGCAAGAGCGTGTGAGGAAGCAAGAGCGTGTGAGGAAGCAGGACTGGTGTCAAAGCAGGAACTGGATGAGTGGACGGGGCCAGGGAGGCGGGGGCAAGGCTGGCTTGTGTTTGGAGAAGATGAAGCTCTGCAAGGAGAGGGTCTCCCCAGGTCTGGCTCCATGAGCGAGGGAGTCCCCCCCCTCCTGCCCCTGTGGGGGTGTGGGATGGACAGCTCACACCCCTGAGCCACATCCCCTACTCCTCTCCCTTCCACCTGGAGAGCAGGCATGAGCACCGAGCTGCGCTGCAGGGCCGGGCTTGGCCCGCGCCCTTCCCCACTCCCCAGAACAGCGGAGAGCAGAGCCGACCAGCGGCGTCCAGAACAGACCCTCTTGCCCCAGCACCTGCCTCTCCCTGGCCCCTGTGCCCAGGGCTCCGAGGCCTTGGTCCTGCAGGGGCCTGGGGTCCACTCTCCTGGCCAAACCCCAGACATCCTGATGGTCCCGGCGCAGGAACAGGGAGAGGGGGATCGCTCCAGGGAAAAATCGGGGTCTGCTGTGTTTCCATGAGAACGATTTCCAGGGTTTACCATCTGTTGGGGCATGTTCTCCCCACCCCCTCGCCCCCCACCAAATACCAGATTACAGAACGGATTCAGCGCTTTGGCAAATGGCACGTGCCCGGCCCACTCCAGAGATTAACCATCCCCCATGTGCCTCTCCTGACAGGTGGTGCCCCCACCCTGCAGTGGGGCTGATACTCACTGGCAGCCACACCAGCCCTCCTGAACCCCTGACTTCCACCCTCATGTCTGGCTGGCTAAAGAGGTGAGTAGTCCTAAATGCTGAATGCAAGCATCACTCTCTCACACACACACACACACACACACACACACACACACAAACTTCTGGGCGATTTTCACAAACCCAATGGAAGAAGTGCCCTGACGTTACCCACCACATCTCGGATGAAGTTCCCTGGTGCATGACCTTCTTCATGGACAGTGTCCACAGCGCTCCCCTGCTGCCCCACACCCACAGGAAACCAGCTCTCTCTCAGACGGGGCACAGCCCACACCTGCGCCCCTCTTGGGGGCCTGAGGGAGGAATGGCAGGGGCGGGGCGGGCCCTGCCCAGTGCCCTGGCGGCCCCGCCTCAGCATTCAGCAGAGGAGCTGGCCAGTCCCTATTGCTCCCCAAGAGCCATGTCATATTATTGACTTCCCAGAGGAGAACCTAAACCAGGTTCCAAATGAGGACCCCCGGCTCCTTCCCCAGCCCTGCCAGGAGAACCCCCCCAACAAACCACCCAGCTCCTTCCCCAGCCCTGCCAGGTGAACCCCCCAACAAACCACCCGGCTCCTTCCCCAGCCCTTCCAGGTGAACCCCCCGAACAAACCACCCAGCTCCTTCCCCAGCCCTGCCAGGTGAACCCCCCCAACAAACCACCCGGCTCCTTCCCCAGCCCTGCTAGGTGAGCCACCTCAACAAACCACCCGGCTCCTTCACTGCAGAAGCAGAAGCCGAGGAGCCCGAGGAGCCCAGAGCTCCCTACCCCTCAGCACATGGCTGAGATACAAGAGGCGCCTGGAGCTAAAGGGCCTGGGAGCTGACCCCGCAGCTGCTGCCAGTGCTGCTCAGAGACGCTGCCCTGCGCCCCGCCTCCAGGTCACCAAACAAACCCGTCATTAGAGCTGGCGGGCAGACTGGCCCGGACTCCCGCGGCACGGCACTCACCTGCAGCATCTGGAGGTAGCCCTCCTGGGGGTCACACAGCAGGGAGGAGATGCGGTGGTTGTTCCTCGTGCATTTCTGGTTGTCCTTGGCAGCCGGGAATATCTGTCGGACCACGGTCATCCTGCCCAGGGCGCTGTGGACCAGATCCAGAATCTCCGGGTCACTGATTTCCTGGGGAGACAACCAGACCCACACTTACCATCTGCTGGAACTTCCTCTGCCAAAGGCCTATGAACAGCTGAGCCAAAGGGATGCAAGGGCGGCCCAGGTCAGTCCCTACTGCTTGTTTACAAACAACACTTGCCCGCCCCCAATGCAAGCAGGCTATTCATCTCCCCGCGGCCCTGGCTCCCTGGGGTCAAGCTCAGACTCAGTGGTGTCAGAAGCACATGGTGTCGGCTGCCCTCCTGGTTTCTGCTGGGAGTCAGAGACCTGATCTAGGCAAGCACAGCTGGCTCCCTCTGACATCACTGACCAAAATGCAACAAGTCACCTCTTATCCTATCTAATAAAAGAGTAATATGCAAATTGACCATCACTCCAACACACAAGATGGCCACCCCCATGTGGACACAAGATGGCCAGCAGGGGAGGGCAGTTGTGGGTGATCAGGCAAGCAGGGGAGTGCAGTTGGGAGGGACCAGGCCTGAAAGAAAGGGCAGTTGGGGGCGACTAGGCCTGAAAGGGAGGGTAGTTGGGGGCGATCAGGCCTGCAGAGGAGGGCAGATGGGGGGAGAACAGGCCTGCAGGGGAGGGAAGTTGGGGGGACCAGGCCTTCAGGGGAGGGCAGTTAGGGGCAATCGGGCTAACAGGGGAGTGGTTAGGGGCACTCAGGCAGGCAGGCAGGCAAGCAGTTTGGAACCAGCAGTCCTGGATTGTGATAGGGGTCCCAGATTGGAGAGGGTACAGTTTGGGCTAAGGGACACACACCATCCCCCCCCCTGCCCCGTGCACTAATTTCATGCACTGAGCCTTTAGTTCATTAATAATTGGATTCTTTTTTAAAAAGATTTGCATACAAATTTTGAAAATATATCCATGCATTCATTCACAGCATGAAATCTACCCCATATCTCTTGCAGGTGTGTTCTGTGCTCAGCAATGGGGATATCACTGTGAGCAAGTCAGGCCTCACCCCATTCAGTGACGCCCAAGGTCATCCCAGGATGACCTATGCAGGGGACGCAGTAAGGAAATAGAGAGGCAAGGGAACCCCTAGTCCCGGGTGAGCATGCTGAGCCCTGATGTATTTCATCTCATTTGGTGCTAACAACAGCTCAGGTGCTCACAATAGCCCAGTGCTCACAATGCCCAGTACTCAAACAACAGCCCTGGTGCTCACAATAGCCCAGTGCTCACAACAGCCCTGGTGCTCACAACAGCCCTGGTGCTCACAATGCCCAGTGCTCACACAACAGCCCTGGTGCTCACAATAGCCCAGGTGCTCACAACAGCCCTGGTGCTCACAATAGCCCAGTACTCACAACAGCCCTGGTGCTCACAATCCCCAGTGCTCACAACAGCCCAGGATTCCCCAGGCAGAGCCGATTATTATCCTGTTTACAGTGAGCACCATGGAGTGCAGAGATAGCAAGGGAGCCGCCACAGGGAGCTCTTCCCAAATAGGCTTCTGTGAGGAATCAGCACTGGAGCAGAGCCTGAAGGATGAGCTTGTTAAGCTAAGTGCTGGCATGTAGGAAGGGGGAGGGGCAGTGCCCAGCTGAGTTGGTGTCAGTGCTGCTGAAGATGGGGAGACTGCACCATGGCAGCTGCACCTGCTCCTGTGAATGCACCAGCTCTTGTGAGTGGGCACCTGCTCCTATGAGTGAGCACCTGCTCCTGAGAGTGGGCACCTGCTCCTGTGAGTGGGCACCTGCTCCTGCGAGTGGGCATCTGCTCCTGTGAGTGGGCACCTGCTCCTGTGAGTGGGCACCTGCTCTGTGAGCGCACCAGCTCCTGCGAGTGGGCACCAGCTCCTGCGAGTGGGCACCTGCTCCTGCGAGTGGGCACCAGCTCCGGTGAGTGGGCACCTGCTCTGTGAGTGGGCACCTGCTCCTGCGAGTGGGCACCAGCTCCTGTGAGTGGGCACCTGCTCCTGCAAGTGGGCACCTGCTCCTGAGAGTGGGCACCAGCTCCTGCGAGTGGGCATCTGCTCCTGTGAGTGGGCACCTGCTCCTGTGAGTGGGCACCAGCTCCTGTGAGTGGGCACCTGCCAGGAGAGCGGCAGGGCTGTGAGACACCACAGGCTCCCAGGACCTGGGTGGGGCTGACAGGCAGAAAGGAGGGTGACAGGAGGCAGCCTGGAGCAGAGTCCATGCCTGCTGGGATGGGGGTCCGAGCCAGTGGAAATGCCCACCCTGACGACAATGAGCAGCCTTGGAAGGTTTTAGACACAAACAAGCCACCATCAGGTCTACATTTCTAAGAGCCTCTGGCAGCTGTAAGGAGGGAGAATTCCACAGGCAGAAACATGCTCATGGGAGGGCCCCAGGGCCTACAGACAGGAAACCCGCGCGGCCAGGGTCTGGGCAGTGGGAGCTCAGGCCGATGAAGCCCCGGCTGGGAGCCAGGCTCTTAGCTGTGCAGAGCCACCAGCCACCCTCTAGGCAGCCGGCAGTCCTCAGGCTCAGACAGTGAGACGGCAGACGTGGAGCTCACGGCGTCAGGAATCAGTGATGGTTGTTTCTGTCGCTTGAAGGTTTAGGGTAAGATGGTAAACAGTGTATTTCAGGGATTGTCTCAAAGCCTGACAGGACTGCCAAGACTGCCCAGCTGAAGCCCAGGCCGGGGCGGGGAGAGAGTAAGAAATTAAGAGGTGCAGCCTTTCAGAATGATCAACAGTTCCCGGTATACTGAGTTGCAGTAATCTCCAAAGAGCTGAAGTGCTGTTACATATTGCATCAGGGTTGAAACCACTGACCTATGCACTTCAGACAAAGCCTGCTTTAAGGGAAGATGATCTTGTTGGATACGGACCAACTGACAATCAAAGGTAGGGACATAGCAATGCGCTCCGGTCCCAGGACCAGGAGGCGAGAGGGTTCAGGCCAGCAGGTTCAAGAACCAGCACTGACAACAGGACAGGTGGTGTATAATAGTGGGGGGCTAGGATAGTAGGGGACCAGGACAGTGGGGGACCAGGATAGTGGGGGACCAGGATAGTGGGGAACCAGGGTAGTAGGGGACCAGGATAATGGGGAACCAGGGTAGTGGGGGACCAGGATAGTGGGGGACCAGGATAGTGGGGGACCAGTATAGTGGGGGATTAGGATAGTGTGGAACCAGGATAGTGGAGAACCAGGATAGTGGGGGACCAGGATAGTGGGGAACCAGGATAGTAGGGGACTAGGATAGTAGGGGACTAGGATAGTGGGGGACCAGGATAGTGGGGGAGTAGGA